CTTGCTGCAGGAGGCGGGCTCCATGTCAATCAATTCTAGCATGCACCAGGGGGGGAGGGGTGGTCCTCCCGTGGCGTTTGTTTACCCCCTCGCCCTCCCCGCACGCACCGAGCCAGCCAGCGCCCCAGCCCTCCACGAGCCCTCCAGACACGGCGGAGCGGCGCGGGGGGAGCGTCGCTAAGCCACGTCAAGGTCTTATCGAGGTCATTATGTACGACTTCATCATTATCTCTCTCTCCCGTTTTCACTGAGAAAAGAAAACAATTGGCCGGCGCATGTCATGTGTTCTTGCCTTCCCACGGGCGGGCGAGCGATCGTGTGTGTGTGTGTGTGCGAAAACAAAAGTGTGTCTGCCTGTCTCACTCTTTTAGGCGAAGCAAATAGACCGCAGTGAGAGAGACGGCGGGGCATGTCCGGTAGCACACGACCGGCCAGGCCGCGCCGCAGGCACGTCCTCTCCAGATAACAGTGTTTGGTGAAGCTACGCCCCCGGGCCCGCCCGCCCCCAACAACGCCGTCGCCGTGTTCGCCGCGCCTGCCCTGCCGCAATATGGCTTCTTCTTCTCCTTCCGCGTCGTCGTCGTTTTTCTTTTTCATTCGTAGAAGTCATCATCCCGGATTAATCATCCATCTCTCGCTCGCCCGGTCGCCGCCGCAGCCCGAGTGAAGGTCAAGAGCGCAAGCTCGGCGCGGGCTGGGGGCAGGAGGAGCTCCTCCAACAACACAACATCTCGGCGGTGGATCTCCCCGGCCGGGACAGAGTTTATCCATTCACTTGGGGCCCTTCTGGCTGCTTGGAGGCGGCCCCCACTGAGGGGCCCACAGAGGGGCCCACAGAGGGGCCCCCCTCCCTCCGTCACGACGCGTGTTTCCGGACGCATCGCGCTCCATTCAAAGTGAACAGCAGCAGCCGAGCGGCGGCGGCCGGGACAGTCGTCCACGGCGACGCCCCGCCCCGCCTCGCCCCCGCGCGGCTCCTTGTCGACTTGGGCCGCGGCGGCGGTGCATTTGCTCGGCATGGCAGCCAAGCGCCGCGTTGGCGTCGGCGGCGGCGACGACCA